TCTTCTCCCTTCCCATAAAATGCAATTGAGAGGCTTCAGGAGTTAAGTGTCACTGTCTGATCCTAGCAGATATGAACAAACTTGCTGTGAATATGAAATACCCCAAGACTTGCAACAGGAAAATGAGATATGGCAGCTGGATGGTTGACATATAGGTAGTGTAAAAAGAAAGCAGGAGACCAGAGCCTGCGAGGCTGATGTGGGGTTTGACAGCTGGACTTCTCCAGCCATCTCCAGGCAAGGCTCAGGTAGCTCCCAATGACAAGCCATTCTGCTACAAACTTCTCGTAGACGTTCAGCTTTAACTCCAAAAAATATGCCTACAATTGTAATTAAAGATGAGGATTTGTACCCTCAAGTACCAATTGTTATCAGTGACAGGGCTTGAGGAAAGGGCATGAAGCTGAGCTGGGGAGGATTGGATTAGGTATCAGGAAAATGTTTTTCACCAGGGGGTGTTTGGGCCCTGGAACAGGCTCCTCAGGAAAGTGGTCAAGCACTGAACCTGACAGAGTTCAAGAAGTGTTTGGGCAATGCTCTCAAGGTGTCACTCTTGAGGTGTCCCGTGTGGGGCCAGGAATGAGACTCAATGATCCTGATGGGTCCCTTCCAGCTTAGCATATTTTGTGATTCTGTGATTCTATGATTCTAAATGCTGTGGATTTTTCCAACCTCTGCAGTCAGGAGAAAGCCATGGTTTGTGTTCCACTGTGGATGGACAATTTTAGAGAGATTAGGTGCATTTAGCTACAAACATGCATCCAGAGAATGTTTCACTGCATCCAGAAAACTGTGCTTTGAATTCTTAGAATGAGATACCCGATGGAGAATCCTCTCTCTTCTCCTTTGTGTCTGTGGAAGGACAACTGACACATCACTTGGCCTCAGTGCTTGGGGTGTGGTTTTGCAGGCAGCTGACCAGACATTGAGAGGGTAGGTACTGCATTTCCCCCTAATTCCTCATATATTTCCCCAAGCCTAAAATAAAACTGATTGCTTCTCTTCTCTAGCTTTTGGGATTCAAACATAAGCACATTGTGCTATCTCTGGGAGATGGTGCCTTATGGAATTAGTTTGAGGAAAAGCCCCCATTCCTGTTGAATTATATCTGTTAGCTTCCAGAAAGCCAGTAATGTAGATTTCTGTAGGAAGCTGGCAGGGTGCACTGAGAAATCAATCTGACACTCATTTACTTTCCTAAAAACCATTCATTTTCTATTCCTTTTTTGTTTGGTGGGTATCACCTCTGGGTTATTTGACAAGGGCTATGTAAATCCCGTTATGTGATCCTGCAAACCCCCCTGAGCACTGAAGTGACCTGCAGCTCTGGTCACAGCACTCTAAAGCAACAGCAGGTTTATGTGCTGCACAACTCAGACTGGTAATTTGGCTCAGCAACACAACCTTCAATAGCAGGATTTTGATTCCTTGTGGATGTTTGGTGATTAACTACTTGTACTCCCAAGCCTGTTGAACAAGGACTGAACATTTTATTCCATGACAGTTATAAAGAGATTCAACTGGTTTTGGCTGAGGTAGAGTTAATTTACTTCACTGTAGCTGATATGGGGCTGTTTCAGATTTGTGCTGCAAACAGTGCTGATAACACAAGGATGCTTTTGTTATTGCTGAGCAGGGCTTGCACAGAGCCAAGGCCTTTTCTGCTCCTCAGCCCATCCCACCAGCAAGGGCTGAGAGTTCTGGGCACAGCCAGAACAACGGATCCTAATGGACCACAGGGATATTCCAGACCATATGGCATCATGCTCAGGATATAGAGAAGGGGGAAGAAGGAAGGGAAGAGAGATACTGGGATTGATGGCATTTGTCTTCCCAAGTCACCATTATATGTGATGGAGCTCTGCTTTCCTGGAGGTGGTGGAACACCTGCCTGCCTGTGGGAAGATATAAATTAATTCCTTGTTTTTCTTTGCTTGTGTGCGAGGCTTTTGCTTTACCTATTAAACTGTCTTCATCTCAACCCACAAGATGTTTTCTACTTTTACTCTACTGATCCTCTCCCTGATCCTGCTGGTGGGGGTGTGAATAAGCGGCAGTGTGAGGCTTAGTTGCTGCCTGGGGTTAAACAACAATGCCACATTTTAACAACATTTTAGTACATTTAAACAATGTGCCACATTTTGAGGGAAGAGCATGCCTGTGGTTCAGGGGTGAAAAAGACCCCCCAGTGGGCATGCAGTGGTGCCCAATTATGAGATGGATTTATTCACATTTCTGCCTCTGTTTGTCTATCCCTTACACTTACCACTAAAATACACCCACTTCCAGAAAGTAATGCATCAACAGATTGAAATCTCACAGCATCCTACGTAACAATCTTTGTCAGAAAGTAGCAAATATCACATAAAGTCAAAACTACTGCAAGAATAACACTACTGTTACGTACAGAAAAAAAAATTGGTTAACATGTGTATCCTCCATTTTTGGAAGCAGCGTCATAAGATCCGTATTGATGACAACTGCCAGACTTCAGCTCGGAGTGATTGAGATTTTTTATCGTCAGCATCTGTTCCCCTTTCTTCCTAAGCAGTACTTTCATTCAAAGTAAGATATGAAGATCTGAAATATTTGATTAAGCAGCTTGATTTTTGCATTATATAGGAGGAATATAGAAAGAAAAAGTTCAGAAGTTGAACACCTTAAAGTAAAATTCTCAAATCACAAGCCCAGAATAAATCTTGATCAATGGTTTGCAAGATTTCTTTGTCAGAGGCTCTGTCACCAGGTACAGAAGAGGTAGGACAGGTAACCTTTCAACAAGAACCTCCTGCTCACTGGACCTGCTGAAAAGCAACATCATAAGACAGAGCTTTTTAACCCATCTTTATCACAGGCCTGCTGAAGAGTATGTATTTAAACAGTCCTTCATCTTGGACTGGTCATGAGCTTACTGAAACTTACTTTGCTTGAGTGCTTATTCCAGTGAATTTAAAGCAATCTCATCTGAAAAGTGTGAACATTAATGAGTTTAGACATTACAAACATTTTATTTTTCCATGTGGAGTTTCTGCAGAGCCTGCCAAATGAACTAGGGGAATTTGTGTCCCTGGGGAGGTTTGGGACCAGGCTGAGCAGAGGCCCCAAAAACAGTGTGGGTGCTGCTGGTGCAGTGTGGTTGTAGCTGCAAAAAATGGGCAGGAACCTCCTGAGCTTAATCCAAGAGATGCTTTGCAAACTGGTTTTCTGTGAGGCCCTCTGATGGCATCACTTTGATGAGCTTAGAGCTAGTAGCTTTCAGCTGAACCTGGGCTCCCAGCATTAATCTCCATGTTTGTAAGTGGGAGCTGAGGGTAAAGGCACCTGTGCTGGCTGGAAGTCCAATTATGTTCCATCCTAGAGTGATTTGCAGGAGAGTTCAAACTACAAAACCCATAATTCTTTGTGACAATACCATCTGCCATGGGTGAACTACATAATCAGGGAGAGTTCACATAGGACCCGGTTATTTCTATGGCTAGAACTAAAATTTTCTATTTTATTCATATAGCAGTTCTTTTATTTACTTCAGGCCAACCCACATGGCTTCTAAAATAATTAAATGTGTAGAGAGATTCTAGTTTTTGAGATTATACTGAAGAACTTTCTAAATTATGTTCAGATTGATTAGCTGACACTTATTTAGGAGTAGATCAAATAGATGGTAATTAAAATGTAGATATATGCTTGATGAAATGGTTAAAATTAAAAGTATTTTTACATTCCTCTGGTCTCAGGATGTCAATTACTATCCACACAGTCAAGATTATTGATTTTGTAGTCTTAAAGGGACTGAAAATGTATGTAGATGTTGGAAACTGGTTCTTTGCAGTTTTTGCTTTCATGGTAAACAATTTGCTAAACATTATATTTCAAACGGGCTGATATCCTTTCTCTCTTCTGCTAGCAGCATGAGTTATGTGCTTCCTTCCTGCTGAATACATATGTGACATGGTTTTTGCATATCTCATTTTAAATTCTGTCAGAACCATATAACTCAGAGACACCAGAAAAGAGTCGGTATTTTAACACTTGTATAGTCCTTGGCAGGACTACTCAAACCTATTCAGGTATATTTAAAAATCAAAAATGTAGAACATATAATTTGGTCTTAGAATGATAAACCTGGCCCTTTTTTATTTTTTGCATGAAAAACTCAGTCCAAGTACTTACAGTGCTATTATAGACTCTGAAGATTTTATTGTCAATTTGAAGATCTCTTAGGATTCACTTTTTATAGCTAAATGCAGACTTGCTATGAGAAGAAGAGACCATGTCCAATCACATCATCCAGATCAGCTGATGATCCAATTTCTCATCTCAGTAATGGGGATGCTGCTTCTCTGAAGTCTTTAACAGCCTTGAGATGAAAAATTGGCTTAACAGAGCTGCCTGTGGTTTGTTCATTTTCCTGAACAGTGCTACACTGTGCCTGACCCTCAGGATGCCTTGAAGTTAACAAAGAGTATCAATGAAGTAACGATAATTGAAATAGCGATTTAAATTCACCAATTATTCCCAGTACTAGACAGCTATTTTGCTGAATATATGCAAACCAGAATGCAATCAGACAGTCCCAATTTTTTTATTTTCTTCCTACTGTAGCTGTCTTGATGCTGATGTAACTTTGCGCAATGATGACTGAACCAGCAGAACCAACAAGCAGTGAACTTACAGCTCTGGTATTGAAAGTCTGTCATCTCGTAGGGCCTCAGCTAGAAGACAATCTTCATGTTCCTTCCATGTCTGCAGAAGAACTGAACTGAAATCAAACAAGTCCTCAAATGGGAGCAGAGTCTGTGTTGGAGCTGGATGTTCCCTGTACAGCACCCTCACAGGGAATCTGGGAAGCTGCAGGCAGGGGATTCACCAGGAGACAGGTCTGGCCCCAGCCAGGAGCTCCTGTAGGTTGCTCTGTGTGTGCTAAATTCTCAGACAGATAAATCTTATGGCAAAAATACCCTCCTGACTCTATTAGTTTTAAGAAGGGAAGCTGTGCTTTCACATGTGTCAATGGGACCCCTGAGTGCAGTGATTTCAGGACACCAAAGAGCTTGGACGCTAATTTCCATCTGTAATCTTTCCGGTAGAAGAACTTTTTGGGTTTGGGAACAATGGTGCCCATTTGCTTAGCTCACCAGATTTACAGCCTGCCCTCTCCCTGTCTCACAGCTCCATCTGTTTCCCTGATTTCCTGCTCTTCTGGGCTGGGCCTTAGGCTGCCCCAGCCAGCCCCACTGGGAACAGCTCCTTCAGATGTGTTTTCTCCAGCTCAGCCTTGCTTTGCACTTTTGGGCTGTTTCCTGACAACTTCCCATCCTTCTTGATCTTGAGGCTTTTTTACAAGTAGAGTGGACTGTCAGTCTGGTAACAAAACCATGAATCCTTTGTTTCTCAGCTGGAAAGGGCTAAAGTAAAATTACGCTGTACAGAAGAAATCTTCATCTCCAAATGGATGCTAAGTGATGACAACAAAGAAACACACACTATTTACTTGTGATGTCTACAGGTGAAGTATATATGTACAAATAAAAGCATTCCCATCTTGACCCAGTTCCTAGAGAACTTGCACACATGGCTGGTTAGTAGGGCCTCCAATAGTGACAAAATTGTCAGTGAGGCCTCTCTAAAACCCCTTCAGCACTTTGTGCCTGAAAATCCATTGTGTGTGTGTTCCAATTTAGCAAGCATCCAGGTTTTGTTGCTAGTTTTTAATAATTTTTTAAATTGTGGTGTTGGCTGTTAGAAAGTAGCCTGTCACATTTCAAGGGAACTGCACCCTTTTACAAGTTATGCATTTTTTAGCAATCATTATTTTGCATATGTATTTGTCCTGTTCAAATAAATAAAAGCAACTATACTCCAAAAACATCAAAGGGAGTTAAAGTACAAAACGATGTGGATTTCTATATTTCAATATTCATCCTTCTCTTTTTAAAATTTATTTTAGGGCACAAGTGGAAAAAATTATTGTTGTTTAACTGGTTGGTAACAGCTGGTGATACTTTATTTCAGTCTTATCATTATTAACACAGCAGATAGTCACCATAATAGCATTCATCAATAAATTAAATGTTCCCATCTTATATGCTTCAAATGGAATTTCATTGTAATTTAGCACAACTGAAATGTTCATTTGAGACAAAGCACTGTTAATACCTGAGTTAAGCAAAATAATTCTCTTTATGCCTGAGCTCTGGGATATTATTCGCACTGCTGCTTTAAAGTTGCATGTCCTGAACTAAAGATTCAAAAATACTGAAGAACTTCAAAGGGTTCGTAATGCTCAAGTAATCCAACAAGTATTAACAGTCTCTCCTCCCTAAAAAGAGAATAATTACATAACTAATTAATTTGCCATAGTACATAATCCGCTGACATTTACAATAAGCACCCCTATTGGAGGTTGAAGTAAATATTAAGTTGCACGTAAAACTATAAATAGCAAGAATTCTGATGCCAGGCAGTTTCAAAATACTGTGGAAAATAGATGAGCACTGGCTGGATGAAATAAACTTGAAAGTCTCAGCAGCATGACCATGGAAGCACACAACTATCAGTGAATGTAACCACAGAGCAGACATGCCCATTGCCCTCTGGCCATGCTGGCAGGGAGCTCTGGTCAGGAGGTCCTATGAGGGACTGAAGTGAAGGGTCTGAAGTTTGGTTTTGATAGTTTTTAGCTTTTTTGTTTTAGCTGGAGGGAGTTTCAGCATGAAGTCTCCATTTTAAAGGCTGAAGCACAGTTGTGCGTGTGATGGGATCTCCCCTTCTACTGCCATGGATGGCAGGGACAGCCCCTCGTAGGATGGAGGCAGAGTAGCTCTGGTGTGAGACCTTTTGGGCAAGGATTTAATGGAGGTTTAGTTGCTGTCACAGCTGCTGATCCTAGCTGCTGACAAAGCTGCCCATTGTGCCCCCTTCCCTCCACGGAGGTCACGGAACCCTTTGGTTCCATTGCTTGGATGGGCTTGTTCTGTTACTGTCCCCTGAGTGCTGGAAGCAGGAGCCTCTTGGCTCAGCTTCAGAGCAGGTGGCGTGGCTCACAGAGTGATTCAAAGTGCCAGGGATGGAAGCTGCAAGCACAGAGTGCTCCTGAGTGTGGGATATGCTCCTGAGTGTGGGATACGCTGCACAAACTCTGGCGCTTTGAGGTGCTGGTGCAGCATTGTACCTTGACTACCAATCCCTGCATGTTGGGCACAGGTGACATAAAAGCTCACATTTCTCTCCTTTCAGGGAAGTGCAGGCCCCTTTGCAACTGCTGTCTCAAATTTGTTGGCAGAAAGGCTTCAGTTTCTATGCCAAGGATGAACATCCCAAAATCTACCACAGTGTATGGGCTCCTCAGTATAAAGAAGACAAGGACCTGCTGGAGGGGGTCCAGCAGAGGGCAAAAGGAGGCTGGAGCATCTCTCTGATGAGGAGAGACCGAAGGAGCTGGGCCTGCTTAGTCTGGAGAAGAGAAGGCAGAGAGGGGATCTCATCAATACATACAAATACCTCAAAGGTGGGTGAGAAGAGGATGGTGTCAGATTCTTGTCAGTGGTGCCCAGAGACAGGATGAGGAGCAATGGCCATAAACTAAAACGCAAGAAATTTCATGTCAGTGAGGGAGAACTTCTTCACATTGAGGGTGGCAGAGCACTGGAACAGCTGCTCAGGGAAGCTGTGGAGTCTCCCTGTCTGGAGACACTCAAAACCCACCTGGACACATTTCTATATCACCTGTTCTAGCTAACCCTGCCTTGGCAGGGGGGTGGGACTAGTTGACCTCTAGAGATCCCTTCCAACTCTAAAAATTCTGTGATATGCTCAGTGTCTCGGGTTCTGCAAAGCTTAAATTGAATTTTGCTGAATATTTAGAAGCAAATTTATTAAGGATTTATTTTAGAATGGTGGTAAAAAAATACTAATTTTACTTCATTGTTTTATCTTGATTGAGAAGAAGCTGAAGATTGTCCTGCAAATATTCCTTCCTCCTGAAAAGACAGCGTTCCTGTATTTGGATGCATGTTTATTTATTCACTTGTAACAGTAACTCTATAATTAAGCAGATGTTAATTGCATCCTTAATGTAATTAAATTAATGTAATAAATCATCACCTATCTTTTTTATTAGATTATAAGTAATTATTTACGTGCTTGTCATATTCTGATTTTGTTTACATGTATAAAAGCTTCCTATTCTTCCTGGTGAAAACAATAAAGGTGTCAGTGGGAGAAGGTAAATTACCTGATGTGTTGGTGTGCCTGAACTTTTCCAGTGGGTGGTACTCATTTTGAAGTCATACAGTCCTGACAAGAATTGTGTATGTGAAGCCAAAGAGAAACAACATGCAGCATCTCTCTGTCCTTAAACAGCAAACAGACATATTAGCAAATATCAGAGATTTACTGGTGAGCCAGGGGGAGAAGAAGGAAAGGCTAAGGTTAAGACTACCATTTGTAAATTTTAAATCAGTAATTTGAAAGCAGGCTGACAATTTAGACCTTTGAAGTCTCTGGGCTGAATGGTGTGAATGTTCACCATGGAGCCCTTCTGCTGCCTCTCTTTGGAGCTGTGACAGTGCAGCATGTTTTGTACCCATGTCCTGACTGAAATTTGCTTTTCAGCATTAAAAAGGAAAATCAGTGTAAACCCTTACATATTCATTAATAAAATAGCTACAATTTGGATCGCTGATTCCCCTTTGTTTTAAAGAGCAAAGTGCCCAATTGTGTGAATCTCTGAAAATATGGAAAGATTCAGGTGAGACAGGCAGACATTAGCATGTCAGGAGGAAATGGGTAGCTCATGTTTCTGGCCTGGCTTTTCTACCTGCATTCATCTAAAGTTGCCAATCAAGATTCCTTCAAGTAATTTCGCTTGTAAAAAAGCAAATCAGCTTAGAAGAGCCCCTCTCCAGCTATACAGCAACTTTGTTAATTGCCATTGAATTTCCTACAGTTTATAAAAGACACAGATAAATCACCATTACCACTGAATTAGTATATTAACTTTCTACCTCATGTGACTTGAGTAATGCAAGAAAGGTAGGTTAAATGGTCTGTCTACTGTAGGTGTGCCATGAGCAGCACCTGTGGCTTCCAGGAACAAAGTGTCCTCTGTAAGACACACTGAACACTAAGGATTCAAAGGTTGTTCTGGAGTCTGATCTAAGCTTGACTTTGATTACCTCTGCTGTACTAAGTACTAAAGTCAGTTGGAGTGGCATTTAAAAAAAAAAAAAAACAAACAACGAAACACAAAAGGGAGAAAGTAAGGGTGACAGAGATTAGGGTTTACCCTGTTCCTAGTTAAAGCAGGTCTATAAACAACAGTGGTAGATCAGATCTGCAAAATTTGTTCACCTTTTCCATAAATCCTGGAAATAAGAGAGTTATTTTCACATTTTCTTACCTTGAATTTTCCCAGTGTCTCCACAGCAGGCATTCCAGATCCATTTCAGGTCTCCACTGCTGTTATTATCTGGGATATTATCCCAAATGCAATCCTACTCTAGTAAAATATCTTAATAAAATTAATATATTGCAAATACATCTGTAACCATCCCCTTGGAATATTTGATGCCCTCTGAAATGGGTTCCTGTTTAGTCTCTTGATACAATGGGAAGGTCTAGAAGAATAGGAAATAAAACACTGCCTGCAAGCTCATGTCATGCCAGCTATTTCAT